CAACCTGATCGACAGCACTAAATACGTGACTTAATACATAACGTAGCGGTGATTATTAATACTCCTAGATAAACTAGGTTAATAATCTTTAAAGAATGGATATATAGAGGTAGTAATAACGCTATCGTCTTAAATGTTGTTGTTCCGTACCTATGTACTTTATGTTCTTCCTATCATTTGCCAATGGATACATAGAAAGGTCCGTGATCACGATGAGGGGTATCGCCCGCCCCCTAGAAGGATTCATTTCTCTCGTCTACCGTTGAACGATATAGATTGGTTGGGGAAATGCACGATTTGATGAATGCGGCGTAGTGACGTCTCTTGGTCGGGATTAGAAACCCCTCAGCAAAATAAATAGAAACGGCTAGGGCTGGAAGGAAGCCGTTATTACACAAGGTTAACCTAGATGCTTAGCGAATTTCCTCGTATTCCCGATTTCTAAACCATGTAAATTAGCATCAACCATCAATACCATGCCACAATCCCATGGTCATTTTTGGATTAGCTACTGTGTAAAGCAGTAAGCACATAATGTTGTGTAAACCAGGCATGTCATGTCAAAGAGCAACAGCTCTCCAAAAGCTGAGAAAGTCGGCGCCATTATTTACAAGTAAAACACGTACCCGAGAAGCTGATTTCATACAGCCGGTAAGCCTGACAATGATCATCACGCTGTAACATATTCTCCAAGATGGGCTGCATCGACTGCAGTCTGGACCATAAAGGCGGCACGCCGAAAGCCACTGTAAAACCAAGACGCTATATCATTCGTGGTAGGGGTGCTAGGAGGACCGATACTACACGTGCTCTATCCGTAAGTCAGCCATCGCAAGATCGACTAGTTACGAAAAGGCCATTCTTCAAAGACCCTATTTCCCCACACCCACACCCACACCTATACACCCTCTTCCCCAGACTCTCTGCTCTTTCGAAAGCCACGCATTGGAGAAAATATGCAGGGTTTGTGCAACTCCTACCATCAGGGCCCTAGTCACTGTAAACTATGGGTAGTAACAGGCATAAAGACAATGGGATATCTGTTGTTACTGGTTGTTACTGGTTGTTAACCATCCCCGCGCCGCTCGCTACCTAATATAGTCGTGAATGATACCCCTCACTTCGGACCTACAACGCTGAGACCTGCAACCTGCAACCTGCTACATACTGTCGCACCGCAGCAGGATGTTCTTCCTCTGAGAGAAGAGTCCACCTCGAATCTTCGATTTACGCGCGCATCTATGGATCCACGTTGGATCGACGACTACTACTCAACCTCAAGAATCGGCGATTGCCATGCAGTAATATAATGGCTCGGTAGGTGAGGGTGAGTCCAAAGAGCATTGCTTCGAGTTCTTTCTTTGATGTCCAACTATCAATATCCAGTACTGGTGGATATAAAGCGATCTTCATTGGCATTTCCCATAAAACATACCTATACTACGTATGGCAATAAAGACGGGACAAGGTACAATACAGGGATCTAATGATTATAACGACGCTACGACGGAGTAGGTATGTGTTATCTCCTGAGCACATTATTTTCCGCCGCAAGCGATAATTGCGACTGTTGCAATGGACATTCTAGCGTCCAAGAAAAGAACTGGTAGAGAGACATATGGTAAAAACATAGGTATAAGATAGAATTAACTACAACATGACAATATTGTAATCATGGAGGACTTTGCGCCTCTAAATAGTGTCCAAGCACTTCGAAAATGAGGCATAAGAGTCAACTAACGCCAGGTAAGCCATGTAGGAATATATTAAGAAAAGGAACCTAAAGTACTCCGTAGCAGGAACATTTCCAGTAGACGGATAGGATGGATTGGTTACTGCCCTGGTGAGTGCCTTGCAGAAACCTGGGGTAATGGACCCCGTACAGCATCAACTCGTCCCGCTCGTCCCCGATAACTCGAAGAGTCCTCTTCTATTCGACCAGGATGAACCCGAGTTCTTCCCAGATGCGATCCGTCGAGTTCCTATGAGTCCTGTATTCAAACATATAGTCGAATGAACATATAGTCGAATGTATTTATAACTAAATCTACTTCTTAATTAGGAAGATGCTTATTTCCCGAGCAATACCATGTAGGCAAGCAGCCTTGTGCGGCACAGTGTAAACATTAATCTCTTTATTATATCCCTCTCTGTCGATGACCTAAATCCTGATATTACTTGCATTAAAGTCCTTGCAACTGATGCGGTTGTTGGCCATGTATGGTATTGCACCTCGTTCCCGACGCTCGACCCCTCCCAGGGTCTTGCCGACAAAAAAAAAATGATATATCACTTTCTATCACCTGCTGCTATATGGGATGGCAACCATACATAACAAGTCCAAAGATAGTTTAGCTGTCCAGGGTCATTGCAGAAGGAATTCGTCAAACAGCTGCATCGTTATGTATGTTGAGAATTGTAGATCTGCGCCTTAGTAGCCTGATCATCGTCAGACCGCGCGTTGAAGATCTGACAGCCGCAGACGAGTCTCAGTTTAAGCTGCAAATATGCGGTACCAATAAGACCGGTAAAACGTAGTACAAATGCCCTTCAACGTTTATCAATTTTAAGACGAGGGTGGTGGCACAGAGAATAATCCTACGCCGCTCTAACGCAGCCAGCCTTCCGCCTCAACTCAGGACAAATCGGGCATAGAAATGAGCCGCGCAGACTTTCTCGTCACATCTAATGAAGTTCGTGGAACATGCCGCATAGACTTTTAGTTCTAGAGGCAACATCTTGCGACTTTCCACCAAAAATCAGGCACATTCTGCTCCGTGCGCCAACTTATTCGAGCCTGACCAAAAAATGAGGCACTCGACTAGCTTCAGTTAACCTTCTCGGCCAGGTAAGGGAAGAGATCGTCGTTTCAAATCTAGATTGATACGGCACTCTCGAGTAATGCTCGCTTGTTGGAGTATGGACATTCTATGCTACGCCTAATCAAATAGTGAGCTCAACAACCCCTAATCTGCGCTCAACCAGGCGCCAAAAGACATGTGTTTCTCGGCCGAGTAAGTAATCAGAACATTGCGTGGCTAGAGTTTAATAATCAACACCGCTGTCATACTACTAATCGTTCGTTCTGTCACAACGATACGGGGGGTGCTACCTAAGCTGCTAAGGTATCGATCCACGGCGCTATCAACATGGAAATCATCGAGGATGTACTTGTCTAATGGATGTACTACATAGGTAGGTACCTAAGGTTAGATGTGTATGAATACTATGTGAGAGCATCGTTACGTTGATTGGCCTACAGGTATTTACCCTCCCCCTAGCTCTACTCTGCCCTACATATGTTGCCACACCTTCAAACTAGCCACAGCCACAATCCTCGCCATCTACCGTCTACCGTCTACCGTCTAGTTTCTAGCATAATATGCTCTGAGTCCTTTTGTTCTCCACCTATTTTCATCGTCTTCGTCGCCGTTTAGAGTTACGCATGAAGTCGCCTCTTACTTGGTGTCAAAATAGCCTATCGTCCAATAGGGTCTCTTCCGCTTTCTTCTCTATATTACATCCTATCAACTACCTATAACTATAGTACGTAGTTAGAAACTAGTTAGAAACCTCAGGGTTTCTCGGTTCCGTATATTTGATAAGCTAGGATCAATAATGACGGAATGTTAGCTGATGCAAAAGGGGGGCCAATCTGATCTACCTAGTCGGCACATCTCATCTTACAGCTGCAAGCCACCCCCTCCAGCGCTCTCTACATACACTACCTAGGTAGTTTGAAGACAATGACGAAAGGCAAATCGTTAGGATGTGATGCCTCTACCTACCTAATGTATGCACCTGAATACCCTCTGAAACTTAAGGACATGCTCTCACGTCGCATCAAGCCCACCAGACCCTCCTTTTCTTGTCCCCAACCCTACTCAGAAACATCGTAGTGATCACCAGGCAGCCCAGAGTAGCTATCTCTTCATGATTTAGGCTAGTTGCAAACATGTGACGTGCCAAGTCTTGATCTTAGATCCTGACAGGTCGAACTGGTCGCCCATTTTCAAGCATTTTCAAGCATTTTCAAGCGATACGAGCCACACGATCCACGCCAAGACGCTTTTTCTTGGCCTTTAAATTTGTCTTCTCATTCGGTGTCTCACCTAAGGTATGGCTAGGATGACACCGAGTTATTTATCTCTCCACCACCAGCCGCAATCACAACCATAACCATAACCTCACTAGATGAAGATAGTCCCTCTACCCTAGGCAGCTAACCTCGCCTAACATCCTCGCCATGGCTGGCTTAAATTTTATACGACTTCTTGCTGCCGTCGCGCTCGGTTAGCGTGTCCTCGCTTAGATCTACTGCACACCTCTTCACCGAGTGAGGCGAATGTTATTTTTTCAAATGTGGTGTGGCGCATAGCATCTATTGGCTCCTAAACAACAGAGAGGATATTGTCGGGAGCTGGCAGACGCGAGATAAGGCCATGAAACCCGCCTATCTCCCCGGCTTGGGAAGGGTGTTTTGACTTGTTTAAGACACTCAAAACACCTTAAAACTTAACCTAGATATACGCCAGCGCGGATCCTCCGGCAAAATACGGTGCGGCGAACGGCTTTCTACGTCTGGGTGCTTGCCTCGCTCTATAGTTTGCCGATGTAGGGCACCATGAATAGGACCAGGCTCCTCGCCACAGGCGTCAAGTCAAGCACAGTCAAAAAGACACGACTTCAACTGTTCATATCGTATAGATGGGCAATAGGTAGTCGCCCTATCAGCACACCACTAACTTTTCCGGGATACCCCCGAATATTAACTGCCTTTGTTGATATCCCGTATAACCCGCGACCCCTATGACGATCGTATCAACCAAGTGTCTAATCGCAGGTAACCCCTCCCCCCACGCAAGCATTACGCAACACCACCCTAGCCAGACGAGGCGACACGGACTGTCTCTCCGCATATAGGTATACATATAGGTATGTTTCCCACGCATTACCGTCGCATCGCCTATCCGATAGGCAGACGATCCCCCCGGCTCGGCTCAGCAGTAGTCCCTCCTAACGTAGTAATAATCACCAGCCAACTCTTCAGCATTCCTACGGCCCTGCGCCTGCAGCGCATGCTTGACTCGGTTCGCCTCGATTCTCTCGGCCGCCGTCCTCCGGGTGCGCGCCCCGGCTTGCTCGATGCGGCGCTGGACTTCTATCGGAGGACCCGGTCCGGGAAGTAGACACTCGCGCGGCAGGGGGCCAAGCTCTGTCCAGACGTCATAGTAGCGTAATGCTGCATTGATACCGCGCCACGCGAGCTCCGGGTCAGCCGCGTGTTCGACGGCCATCATATCCGTGAAACCCCGCAGTGTAAGCATTGGCATTCCACCGTATGGAAGCTGTGGGCGTCCAGGGTTGCGCACGGCGACGCGGTGTTCAAAGGACCATGCTTCGCATGCAGCCTTCAGCTCGAAGTCTGCTAAGTCTTCTGGTTGGAACATGACATTCGGGACTAGGTTTGATTTCCCTAATTTCCTTTTATTAATTTTCATCAAATACGGCAAGCCTCTAGCTTATGGCAGGTATGTGCTAGGCAGGGGAAGGATATGGGCACATACAGACGTTGTCCCCCCCCCCAAAAATCCGTGCACGTCTAAGAAAGCCGACAGGATCTCGGGTGTGATAGTACCTGTACCTCGGGAGTCGAGACTGGCGAAGAAGGCAGCCAATAGGGCCACCATTAGTGGTGTCGCCGTGCCGTCAAGATTTGATAATGGTCCCCATGTCATTGGCTGACGTACTGTATGCGGTCGTGTTGGCGGTGGTGGTACACCAGGAACCTGTCGGAATTGTTGCTGTCCAGACGGACTCGGCCGGGGAGGCAAAGAAGGGTTCACCGGACCCCGGAGCTCGTACCCGGATGGGCGTGGCGGGATAGGTGGTGGAGCATCCATGAAATCGGCAGGAAACCAGATTATAGTATCACAAACTCTTCTCTACAAACTCGCACATGTAAGGAATGACCATACCCTTCCTTTATGCATTTCCTTTTCACTGCTATGGCTGCCATGACTATCGTATTCAAGTATTCAGCCTTAGCCTACGCCTTAGCTGAACGGACTACACTCCAATTCTTCTCAACCACACAAAACGGCACAGCAAAAGTCGGTTAATTTTTCCCTTCGAAGTTTGCATCAGGTCAATGTGACATAGGTATCGTTTAGCTAAGCCCAGCCGAGCTACCGTGCGAATGATTCATGACTGACCAAGTAATGTGAGAGCCAGTACCGAGATGACGTTGGACCGGGTCTTGAGGATCTAAAGAGTCTAGAACGTGCAGTAAGCCGGAGGGAGATCTCAGTCCCCAAGTACCTTTAGATGGGTTAGCTTGGCTGACGATGGCTGCATCCGGCGGCGTCTAGCCCCTGTCGTTCGGGTTGTTAAAAGCATTAGATCCTGTGCGTCTGCAGCCACATGATGGTCTAGACCGCTCCGAAAAAGTTCGTGAAATGCATTGGGCTCCCGGCAAACTACTGGACGCGGAAATTGAGGACAAATTAAGGAAGAGTTTGGGGTAATGTTAAGTACCCAGATCCATTCAAGATGGATGATGTCGTCGTCACCTTAGCTAGTCGACTTGTAGAGAGTATCCCTGGCATGACATCCCGCCTGAACAGACAATCATCCTACCACGCACTAGACCAAGAGTAGTTGACCCTTCATGCTAGTCTATCTACCCGTCTATATGAAGCAGTCCCGAATTGACACGCACATCTGCATGCTGCGATGTGTCTCTGCATACCGTCACCAGTTTGCTTTTGCCCTTATATACCGGGAATTGCCGTTCAGATCCAGAGGGTCTAGCCAGATCTATGCATAACCGCACGAAGAAATCGAAGCGCAGTAATCCACTCGTTCTGTGCCTGGCTCACGATCTGATAAGTACTAGTCCTGAAACCCTTCATATTGTTATAGAGTACTCTTATTATATGCGAGACCGAAACAAGACGACATGGTATCGAATTTGGTTTGGCAAATAAACAGCAACGGCAATCCAACGGACACTAACCAGGCTTGGTATTTTCTCCATTTGGACTTGTTGTTAATTAAGAATGTTGGTAATAACACATACTTGCTTTGGTTTTTGGGCTCTACTAGGCCTCTTGCTTTCTATTGAGGCTCTCATGCATAGACTCAAAAGGAGGTGTAAGCAAATAACTCCGCTGCCCGCCTTTGCCTTACATATATGCCGTGTAACAAGTTCGGGGGTGGAAGGCTCGAATGTTAATGGCGACGATGCTGTATCAGGGTTCGGCAGGCCCCGCCAAGTGTTCATGGCCTGATAGACTCGGCACTTTCATAGCCCATGGTGTTGAGATTGCAAGCTGGTCCCTACGATGATCAGAGACGGTCCCGTCTTCCGCCTGCTATGGGACTGCGTTGACCAGACCAGCCCAATGCCACCCTCACAAGGAAAACGTGAATTACTTGGCCTAAGGATGAAGCAAAACTCACATCTAAGCCGTAGTAATTAGCTCACCTCAATCTCAAATATCAATTGAAAAAATGAAAAACTAACGGCTATGCCTAGAGCAGAGCTTCAAGAAATAGGCATATCTCATATCGAAACTAATATTACAAAATCTCCTAAACTTCTATTGAACAACCTGCTTGCTTGAAACGAAAAATGATATATATGTGTCTACTAGTGATTTCATTTACGTTCAGAATATGGTTGCTCATGCCATAGAAAGATCGATGCCCTGTTCCTTGCTCACATCGTGATATCCTGTACCATGTTTCAGCTTTTTTGTTGTTGATAATTGGAGAGTTATAATCTATCAATACTAATGTTTATCCAAACATTATATTTAGCGGGTGCTGCTGTAAAAGTGTATGAGATGATTATGTGCATATTAGCCATGTAAGCCATATATACAAAATGCCAGACTAAACTTACCTAACAGACGTAATTAGATATATATATATATATATATGTGTGTGTGTGTGTGTGTAGATAGTGACTTTGAAAAGATGCGTTTTTATCTTGCCAAGTATCGTATAGTGTTATTACTTAATACCCTCTGAATAATTAAACAAAAACTCACCATTAGAGAGCATGCAGAGTTGTAAACTACCTACCTATCATGTATAGAATATTAGCGCCTGAACCACTCTACCAATTGTCCGCAAATGAGACAGAATAAGAGCTGCATGAGATGAAACAGTTGGGATCTCCAGGAATAACACCGAATATAGAAACTGCATCATGTGACACCATATTATCCAACGACTGTTGGGCATTTGATATGGCTTCAAATTAACAGAGACAATTATAAACTTCAAAGAGTATCTAGAAATCTACAGAGGCTATCGATCAAATATATTCAAACTGAAAATTAGTATTCCACGAATCAAAAGGCTGTGAAAATGAGGCAGTGCTATCCAAATCGGTGCGATGGGAGGCAGCCGTCGTAGAAATTGACTGGCCATAATTTGGCCAGCCGTGTTTCATCCCAGTACCAACACCACCTTTGAGATCAGCTCTGAATAGGACAGCAGGTATGCCTCCAAACACGGAGCTCATTCAAAAGACGGCCGCTGGCCTTGGTGCCTTACGTGCCCAGCTACTACCAAGCTTATTCTATTAAATTCTCTAATTATTTCTAACTAGGTACTTAACTATACGAAATGGCATCTACAAGTAAAAAACAGTATAAAAAGAGAAATACCGACAGACCGTCCTGTATATTCTCCCCCCTCCCCGCTCACGAGTACGAGCGCAGCTTAAATCCAAAAGAGCTTGACCAGTTTAACGAACGAGTGCAGCGACTAGACAAACGGGTCTGGCGCAACTGCAACAGGCGCAATGTATCCGAATTCTGCTGGGAAGTCCACGCGTGGGAGGACGTGTTCGACCAAATCCGAGAAGAAGACGCATTTCGAATGTACCAAAACCCTCGTTCAATATCAAGGGTTAAATAAGTATCGAGTGTCAAGCTAAACCGCCAACAGGGACAAAATCGACTACACAGCGCTTGAAGAAGACAGAAACGGCAACTGGCAACTCACCAAGCGAACCCCAGACGCAACCATCGGTTTCCAGCCTACCCACGGCGGCTTCGAGACCGAAGTCCAGAGCGCAAAGGGCTGGGTCCCCCTGTCTCAGATCTGCGAGGCGACCCGGGTCCCATTCGACCGGGACAGCGACGCGAAGAGCTTCGTATTCCCCTTCGCCATCTACGAGGCCAAGAAGAGCTACTCCTCCGACTTCGAGGCAGAGACGCAGATCGCGCGTGCTTGCGACCGCTACCTAGGCCTTCTCGACGGTGTCGTTCGCGACCCTAGAGACCCTACCAAGTACCAGTGGCGAACTAGTCGTGAGTATCAGATGTTTGCCTTCACATCCTGCGCTTCCGAGTGGAGGGTATACGCAGCTCGACGCTACGGCGAGTACCACGTAAGTCGCAACCAGCACCTATTAAAGCCATAACTACAGCTGACAGCGGCACAGAATGTAGAGACAATCTGGGCAGGCGACGTGAGGTTTCCAATCCATGCCGTAAGTCTACTAAGCATCGTGGATCAAATCCACAAGTGGGCAGCGGACGTCTTTCGACCGTTTGTTATCAAGCATCTGGACATACGAGCAAAACTCTCCATGGACAGCACGCTCAGGTGGAATAGACAAGGGTTTATTGGTCCCGAAGCCGCTATGCCGTCGTGTGTCATGCGGACGTATCGCTGTCGGGAAGTATATAAATGTACGAAAAGGCTTAAATTTGTGCAAACTGATGGCGAAATAGTTCCGCCGGAAGTACTAAGTCGAGTCTCAAGACTATACTCCGGTGCCGTGGTAGTTAGAGAGCTTGTTCACATAAATTAGTAGCAGTACCATGGAAGTACTTTCTTAGTTACGTGTGGATTATATTGTTATTAGATCATAGAATAAGTATTTACCCGAGAGGAAATTGGCTTGTGACCGAAGACATCATATTGCCCTGTGTAAGAGAAGGAAATTTGTATGAGACAAAGAGAAGCGAGAAGCTATTATTAATAGTAAATATTTCCCTCGCTGTATTTGGAATAATACCTAATATACTATGTTCTATAAGCAAAGCAGCCACGCCTCACTGGCGTCTATCGTTACGTAACTTAATAAAAACAAGATAGCTCGCTATACGTAGTAATCTACCGCTCTCTTCATCGAAGGGGCAACTGCTCTTCTCTACTCGGTCATAGCAGTAAATTGCTGGCGCTCGCATCATAGATACGATTTGTGTAGGGGTTGCGATCACCAGGTCTTGTAGGCTCCCGGTTCGTTAGCATTGACCAGATGAAGCGAATAGCAATGTTGCCGAAATCCGAGTGTTTAAGCCTCTTGGTTGTCGGCTTTAACTCGTCCGGAAACCATCTTGCTAGAACCCCTCCAGGCCTTCCCAACTCCCGTCCTACGTCCAAGTCCTCGCTACCCGCGAGCATAACCCCTACTGCGATACCAGAAAGCCACGTCCACATCAGGCCGTCACCACCGAAACCGGCCGAAATCCACTCGTTGGGCTGTCTATAACCATCGTTAAGCGCCTTGTTGCTCCGCAGGTCTGGGTAGCGGCCTGTTAATGAAGGATCCAGCCGGCCGACAAATGGGAGTAAATCTCCTGTGGCACTCATAACTCCCGACCATGTTTTCACAGTTCTCCCGTCGTTCGATATGGTTTCCCTACCCTAAAAGGGCCCGAATATCAACGGAAAGATTCCATTGAGATGAATAGCGGCTAGGGGGTCCAAGAGGGCATCATCCTACACGCCAATCATGCTTGCACCGTGGCCTGCTGCGTGCGAGAAACCTCCACTGATAATGATATCTTCATGACCGCTCAGGTTGGCTGGTCGCTGCATAGCATTGTCGCTTGTTTTCCCATGCACAACAGACCATGCATTTCCGCGGCCTAGGTTTAAAAGGCTAAACTTGTATCTACGCAAATTATTATTTATCCATCATCCAAAAATCTCTTATGGGCCATGATACCCCATGAGGCCAGTCAGCAGGCTTTTGACTTCAGAGACGAGTCGAAAAGAGGAAGGGGAATTCTCGCCATGACTTACCCTGGCTTCAACGCAGTCATAGTTCCGAGGATCCCGGTCATCTTGCTACGCAGGCCGGGCACGAGATCGGGGGCGAAAGCGTTTGTAGCGTGCACGATATGATTGCATCTGAAGTTACCACGCGTGGTTCGGACAACATAGCCATCTTATGTATGAAAACATTCTATGTCAGCTTTACAATCCTAGAATCCAAGAATTTCTACCGTCCTTTTTCGAACGAGGAGAGATAATAAGGCTTTCGCACTTACTACTGAGAGTTAGCCACCATTACCTTACAAAGGCAGATTTGAGACTATTTTATAAAGGGGGGGGGGGGGTTAGAAAATAATACTACGGAACGTATATCATACATAACGTATATCATACATACCATGGGTCTCCTTTAAGTGAGTCAATGGAAACAACGTTCGTATGTGTCATTATGTGGAGAAATTGTTTATATGTGCGTAGGAGATGATGCCATACAGAGTTAACGAATCCAAATGGCCAGATCGTCTGTAGCTAAGGTTAATGTAAAAAGAGAAAACAGAAAACTTGAGTATTACCGCTGAATCGTATGATAAGGCTCCTTGCACTACCTGGCTCACATTGAACCTCTGTACAACCATATTAATATTTGCATGCCCATTTCCATTTTCTAGAAAATGAGTTAATATATATGTTAACTGGCAACTTACCTCCCGCGCCTCATCCCTCTTAAAGGTTGCAATCTTGAATTCCGGAACCCACTGTGCAAATAAATGCGCCTTAGCGAACGCAATTTTGCGATCTCGTTCGGTAAGGTAGAATTCTACCATCTCTCTCTCGCGAAACTCTGCATTATCCTGGTCCATACCTTGGCATAGCTCTCTCAGCACTTTGATATGAGCTAGCTGGAATCTTACAAGCGCTGCGGCACGATGAAGACCTATAGTACTCCGTAGCCTGTAAAACATCTCATGTGGTGAGCAGTTCAAAACACCATTGCCGCGACCCGTTCCGCCCCCACACATCTCTCGGGACTCAATGACGAGAATGCGACGTAGGTTGTTTACACGTCTGGTTTCAACCAGTATGGAGTAGGCAGCTGCGGCAGCGGCAATACCAGAGCCAATGATGATGACTTCGGCCTGATCTGATGGCATCTCTTGTACGATGTTGACAATGTCTGGATATGGCGGGTCTTCTAGCTAGTAGGACTCCGTCGCCCCAGGAACCGGGGGTCCTTTCGGGTGGTGTGCTCGTTTCATGATATCGTTAAATATTTCCCTGAGGTGGAATACTGCTTTTGTGGCGAACCATAGGGATCTGGCAGAGGACTGGACACCGCCCATTTTGATTATTTAAGTGCTTGAATTTGAATGTAGGCATATATGGGTTCGAATTGGATATATATGGGATGAGAAGGATTAGACCCTTTAATAATTAATAATATGTTAAATTCAAGCGAGTGAACAATGATTATTGGCAATGATCATTTGGAATATTATATAGATTGAAAAGATCTAAAACTTGATAATATATATATAGCTCTCCGATAAAGTCGACAGTATAGTACATAAAGAAGGGAGCCACTATATTAGGACTATACCTCCCTATATTTTAACTTTCGACTTACAGTAAGTGTTGCCGTTGTCTTAGATTGAAGTTGTGACTTATTAGTCATGTAACAGGTACCTTGGTTTCTGTAGGTACAGAAACTACATGTATCCTACGGCAAGTGGTCCGTGTGTGACACCCCATCCGGGGAAGATGTATCTAGTAACTTCCATCCACCTTTAAGCGCATCGTCCAACGGAGAATTAAGTGAATTCTTTGCATATACACGTATGTTCGGCTTCTTCATCATTGAGATTTAAGATAAAATTCAACTTGGGAGAAAACAACAATAACAACAACAACAACAACAACAACAAAACAAATGGTGAGAATTCTTCAAAAGCAGTCACTCCTCAGAATCCTGAGTAATAGCCGACATCAACTATACCGCTCTTACCCGCCGTCACTAAGAGCCATGTCATCAGCGCCAAACACAAACCCTAGCGCCAGCGCAGACAAAGTGGCTATGACCACGCAGGCACATCACGAAAACGAGCATCAGCAGAAGTCCTCCCCTCAGAAAACGCCCCTGCCGCTCCCGGAGCCGAGTCAGGTCAGCGACGCCACGCAGCTACCTGTAGGCGGTGAAGGGGTGAAACTAGATCACCGTAAGTGCCATTGCTAGTATCTCCGGTTTATTCTCCCCCCTTAGAAATAGAGGCTGGTCGTATAACTAGGTGATGGTGAATAAGCGTCGCTGACATTGCTGCTGCAGTGGGCCCGCTGGTCGTTAACGAGGACGGCACGATGAGCCGTATTTCCAACTGGGCCGAAATGGCCGAGATCGAGCGGAATAACACGCTGCGGATCTTGGGCAAGCGAAATAAGATGCGTCTAGATGCGCTCAGAGCCAAAGCGCAGTCTTCAGAGGGTCAATCCGGGAATGGAAGCTGATATACTCGAGATGTATAACAAACATACATAACTTTTGAAATACCTAGGTTAGGGCGTTTCGGGATGGGGACACAAAGAATGAAGTTGAATCAACTCTAGCAAATATATGGGTAGTTGTATATTGAGGCATACCTATGTATTTCTTCTTATTCATTCAATTGAAATGATGGTTAATATCTAACCTAGACCCTTCAAGGAAACACAGGAGCATTGTGTCAAGTATAAATGCATATCTTGTGAACTTGTTAGATCATTCATCCCCTACCATGGTAGATTATTGTGGACGACAAACATAGCGTAACCCTGTTTGCCCTAATACATAGTAAGGGGGCCATTGAAGCGAGTACTAGCATTGATGTGTGATGTGGTATGTACCTTGCTTGTCTATTTGTAAGCAATTGTAACAGGGACCCGGGGGTGAGTGGCGGATCCGTCGGGGTGTTAAAACAAAGACGGTGGGAGACGGTGGGAGACGGTAGGCTTTCAACGTAGATTCCGGGTGAAAGCGCTAACAAAGTCGAGGGAGCCTCATATACATATACTCTTATTTACCACTTAGAGAAAATATATTCTTGCTACCGTATCAAATAATCACGAAAATGGCGATTTGCTAGGCATAACCTAGGTATGCTCATGTATTGGAGTTAAGAGTAAGACGATTACCCACGAATCATGCTTCAAAACCAGACGTGATATATCCCCAAAGCCGCCGCCGCCTAACGGTGCACAACCGATATGATTTCCCCGTAACGCCATCATTAAATGTTTCAATGGTATCATCATGCTGAATTTACTATGAGGCCTTCTCGGCTTCCGTCTTGGCATTACTCTCTGACTCTTTGCCAGCTGGCTTCTTCTCATTATGCTTTTCCAATAATGTGGTGATTAGCGTTTCATTCCCGCCCGTCTTTTCCATGACAAGTTCTCTTAGCCATTTGTTCTCGGTCTCTAGAGTTTGAATTCGGCCCTCTAGGGTCCCGACCTTGTCACTTAACTCCTTCTCGCGCTTCTCGAGAGCTTGCTCGCGAGCTTTCTTCTTAATGCGGAATCTTGCGCTGGCGGCCGTATTCCGCCTCCGCTTGTCCTCTTCTGCAGCTAACCGGGACTGCTCCTCGAAAGATAACTGCCGGCGAGGTGGAACGGCAGGATCAGTAGATTTTCGCTTGTCACCCGTCTGCGGCATTGAAGTCCCGTAGGCACTCTGTGGCGATCCATTAGGAGGGAAAGTTGGCGAAGGCTGGATAGGTTGTAGGTTTCCTAGGTTGTCTGAGAAAGCTGAGACATTTGGCGTTGAATATGGGTGAAAATCAAACCCGTTGAAATCGCCTGAAGACATGACGTGACGTTAAAAACTGTGGCCCAATTGACAAATGCAAAACAGATTGTGACAAAACCTTTCTGAGGTGCTAAACATCATCGATGACGACTTAGTGTCGGGAGAGGATATAAGTTTAAGCCATTGCTGCGAACTCTCGATAGCGGACTTGGTGGATTTGGGTTGACTATTGATCTCAATAACCTACTCCAGATCACCTAAAGATCACGGGTTATTGCACCATAGCTCGATTGCGCAATCGCAGGGTAGTCTTTCGCGACCATAAGAGGTACTGGCACAAACCGAGCGATCGATGCAATCCATATGCAACATGGAGCAACATGGAGCAACATGGAGCCAACCCGAACCAATCAGAGACGGAATACATGAAAACTCATAGTGGGGCAATCATAAAGAAGAGCCAAAAATGCTATAAGTGCCAGGCTTGTGATAAGACGAGGGACTCCGCTTGGTGGACACCGCAAGCTCTGTCTCCCATTGACGCCTTTCTGCTTGGGTAGTTGCTGCAACAAGGCGCGGCACCAACCACCAACCATGCGCGCGCACATAGGCGATTCGGAAGGTAGATTGGCCAGTGTACCAACCCAGGCACGAACAGTTCAAGCGAGGCTGCTGGGCTGTAGATGAGGACCCTCGAAAAGTAACCCTAGACGTGCACACGCCATCGTGTAACGCCAAAGCGCAATAATGAATGCGGGGAATTGATGGCGGAATCCTTCATGAATTGAACTTGAAGAAACTTGAAGAAAATAGAATTGAGTAGTAAGAGGAAGTAAGGAAATGGGAAGAGAAAACAACAAAACGACGTTAGAAAACGTTTCTACTAACCTGGAAGGTTGAAGTCGAATCCCGCTAGATCACTACTCATTGGCCCTTCTTCTGTGGGCGATGTTGTCGACTGTGTGTCCAAACTGACGCTTGATGAAGCTGGTTGCTGCTGCTGCTGCTGCTGCTGTTGTTGCTGTCGCTGCTGCTGGCTCTCGTTTGCATCCCAATCGATAAAATTGGTATTAGTGAACATGGCCAATTCATCGTCGAGATTTCGTAAGTTTTCCTCCGGTGCTGCAGTAGGCTCCGGGACTCTATTCAAATCTTGTAATAATTGTGACACGTTCACGGCCTGGCCGCGCCGGCTGGAGTAACTCGGCGGCATCTTTTCAAGTGACTCTCTTTGACGAGCTCGCGAGAGCTTTCGGGTATTCGGTAGGGTCGACTCGATTGTACCGCCCTTCGCTACGGGATATCAAAGCTGTGATGTGTGGCGGGTGTGGTTGTTTTGAATTTGCTAGAATAAACAGCGGAAATTTTTGAACCGGGAGAAGATGGCGGCGGGTAGAATATTTTTGTAAATGTAAAAGTAAAAAGTTGGTAGCGTTCGGAAGAAGTACTTCAAAGTTGTGGTAGTGGGTCAAAGGACGGCCGGACAAAAGCTAAGTTTGCAGCTAGTCACCACCGAATTTGACCGATGGCTGATGGGTCCGCCTATAACATAATAACAGCTGACGCTCGGTTGACGTTTTAGGGAAGATAAAAAAAAACCCTCCTCTTGCCCCTCTTTCTTCTTCGTAACCGATATTAATCGGTATTAGTCAAATATGTGGTATACCGTGCTTACACTTCCGCTATACAAAGGTCTGACCTGACGTTGACCGTAAACTCTTTGATAATCTGTAATTACTCAACATCGCATTTTCTAAATTCATTGACAAGTTAGAAGATGATGAAGATTTGGGAAGGAGCAAGATATTATTATTATCTGATTACAAATTACAGACGCAGGTTTGACTTTAGTATCCACTGTACTTGCATCTACAATTTATGTATGTAGTTAGGTTGGCCCAATAATTTCTCTCATGATCCTACGACGTAGACCCGAGTATACCAGATGCGGCATACAGTCCGGGCTTTGAGTGGATGACCTATTAGTCAAGCAAATTCGGTCGGACCAATAAAATGTTGCGGAGAGTTTTACACTTCCCACCCCGCCCACGCACCCGCGTGTATTTATACAGGAAATACATACAAGAACCCCCACTACCACAACCTGTCTGGAATTACTTGGACCCTGACTATCCCGAGCCGCCCTGCATGGTGATTAAATAGAAACTTGACCTCGTAGCTTTTTTATGCCCGTTTATTCCACTCTGTTACATAGCCCAATTTACTATAATACATAGCTATAATACTTAGTGGAGGGGGACCCCTATTCTTTTCTTTGACCAAGCAATATTATTCTCATGCTTAGAAATCATTGACCAAACCAATGAGGGGGGAAATGGCTTATGGAGACACAAGATTGCCAAGGCCCTATGTATAGCCCTTGCTTGCGTTACGAATTCTATTTCATCTCACGATAGTATCAGGTAATTCTTGCTTGTAGCTTTGTCTGCTTATATGCTTGTCTGCCATACCACACTATGTGCCTCAACCTGGACTGGTGGCGAGTCATGATCGACAGTTCTATGATGGTATGATCCGGAAGCGATCTTGATACGCACGCGACGAAAAATACATAACAGATCAGCATTTGACTACGATAACTCTTGACGTCAACTTTGCTAGTCCTTTGTTGCACCCAAAATCGAGTTACTTACAGTTTCCTTCCTTATGCCACCAATCATCTTAACAATCTGTAATTGGTAGGGTCGGTAGACTGGTAGATATGCAAGTACGTGCATGGAAAATGACGGGAAAGGTCCTGATATCTCAAGGACCTTACATACCTACATACCTAGGTATGAAAGGTATTTCTTGCCTTACCCAACAGACCCAAGAAAAATCAAACCTCCATCCCGCACTCGTTCGCCAAGAGTTCACCCATCCGCTATCGGGTAGCGTGGGGTATTATGTACTTTTGTATACCTTAGGTACATACATATGTTAGGGCAAGTAGGTCAAGGTTGGACTCTGGTGCTCGGGGTCTCGGCATCTTACTGCTTGATTGAGATCCATTTTGCCAGCGCTTCTCAGAGTTGCGGCAAGGATGCTTTCCCGAGTTGCGGGAATCTGTCGGATGAGCTTATGCGGGTTCCCTCATCAGGAAGGAGGATCTGTCAGCTGTCCCGGCGCATATATGTACATAGGTATGTTAAAGGTGTTTACTTGACTTTTATATAAATCAATCGGGAAATTCGTATTTGTAAGTCTTTGGATTCTATCTCCTGAGTTGCCAAATGGCCAACCAAAGAGAGCCGAGGATGGTGCATACATGTATGTACGATATATTCTGAGAGAAAAGCTGTATTTGATACATGTAGGTTAGGTACTTAGGTTAGGTACACTTTTGAGAATGGAGATGCCAGATTAAATCAGCAAGAACATCAATTCGAATTGATGGTATGGGTACGAAGTACATGTGTTGTATTTGATGACATAACTATCAAAACGGCTGGCAGCATCTGTCAGCCACTTGGCCTTACATATCCTAGGTACCCAGATTCAATGTTAATAACGATCTTGACGTAACTACCTAATGTTAACTTTAAAACAATACACCAATTGTCAATAGTGGTTACAATTTGCTTTCAAACTCTACCTAAGCTCAGCTTCGAGCTATTGCTACGTTAGGTACCTCTTATGTAGTAGAGGTTGCATTTTAATAATTTCAATTGAATTGGTTTGGGTAGGACAACAGGGAAACCGAACCATTCATCGCACCGAGATGCGATAAGATGAAATAAATCTCCGACGCGTCGCGTGTCCCACTTCAACCTCAGAGTATCCAACATCCATATACATTCATTACGCTATCTCTGGCTTATAGATACTACTTCGATTATATCGTTCGAAATTGTCATATTTGACCAAGGGGGAAAGAATAAGAATCGATACAGCCATGGCACGACTATCGTTGCCAACAACAGCCCGTCTCTCCCCATCCTTACGAGTTGACCCCGCAAACAGCACCGTGATCAAAACTCTTAATCGCCTCTCGCGATCGTCGTTACTATCGCTTGTGCTAGACTGGTTAGACGAAAGGAATCAATACCTATGCCCTCCACTTCTCCGCCGACCAGATGCTCCCGACGACGAAGACGAAGATGATTTCTACCCTCCTGCAGAATCGCTGGAGGAGCTAAGAGGACTCTACGAATCTATGCAGACCAGGAAAGGCGGTCGACGCGAAGTAGTCGACAGGATTCTCGAAGGAGATTGGAGATACGGTCTTAGTCTATACCAGATAGCAATGGCAGATCTACAGTACCTATACGATCACCCTGGTAGTCTCAAGTGGACCGCCTACCGTATCCAACAACTTAAGGCCCCGACACACGAGGATGATGCCGAGGGCCCGGAGAAAATAGACAAGGAATCGCTTGCTGTACCACGTTTCCATCCGTCTACCTTTTTGCAGAATTTGCAGGCCGAGGTGCTTCCCGACGTCAAGGCGCATTATAACTTTGATCGACCAAAGTACATGCCGCTCCTGTTATTGCGCATTTTCATTATCGATTCCCCTTATAACACGGACCTAGCGGTCTCAACCCGGCATCGCGGCCGTCCTGACAGCAATGGTAATAAGAGCATAACGACGAGCTTTGATGCCTCTAGGACTATCTACATTGCTTTCCCGGATGCCTCGCCGCACATATATATATCTAAATCCGCTACGGGGGGCGTTTCCTCGTCGGCAAGCGCGGCAGGCGAAGCCAAGAGCCTACGTGCTCTTATCGTGGAGGGCATTCCGAAGGCGTTGTCGCGACCACGCGAACGGTACACCCTAAAGGGAACGAACTTGACTACAAAGAATCTCGCTACTATGTTGGCTGTGAAGGGCGCGGGCCGCACAAATGCCGCAGGTGGCGGCTGGAGCATTTATGCTGGCACAGGAACTTCGGATCTAAAAACCGACAGCCCTTTACAGACATTACTTCCCACACCACCGTTATCAGACGCATCGTCTATCGACACTGATAAGACGGACAGTGATAGCCGTAAGCGTAGGAGACCTGCGAGTGATCCAGCGGATGTGGAGGATGAGAAACAAGCGAAACAAGCTTGCTTGGCGGCGCAGGCGCGTTTTGGCAGCGCTGCAAAAGTAGACGATGGAAAGGGGGTAGAGAGGCTGGACGTCTTAATCGAGGACCCGTTTCCCACAGATATTGCCAATTTCTCAGACGATGAGGAGTCCGAGATTCAAAGGGAGAATGACGCAGACAGGGCAGCTGCACTATCGCGACAGTCGTCGAAGGGACGTCGAAGTACACTCAATTTGAGCGTATTGGTAGAAGATCAGGAGAATATTGATGGTACTGGTAGTGGAAGGAGAGACAGCGACTGGGCGCCTCAAATTAGGCTCTCGTTCCATGGGTCTCACGTCTTTGCCGGAATACGGCAGTTAGTTGAAGCAGGGATTGTTGACGGAGAGAAGATGCCGGGGTGGATGACGGGCGAGGAGGGTGTGACGATCGGGGCCGTGCGGCACGGTAGGATAAAAGGCTTCAAGGGTTCAGGATTATGAGTTGTTGTACTACGAGTGCTTCCTGTTGTTGTTTTGTCATGGCTGGCGTTGTCGGGCAAGGAGATACTATGCATGGCTTTGGGTGTTTGCATTCTGATTTCTAGGAATGAGGTATGTCGGATAGGTTATCATATACCCAGTGAAGCATTTCTGGAGCGGCCTAATATGAAGAAAAGAAGGCCTCCTTCATCCTTTCACATTGAAAGTGTCCATAAACCTAACTTTCCCGATGTTTATCATTCGCTCTCTAGTAGTCTGTTCTATTCGTCTACAGGAAACACCTTAATCGTATTCCGCCAAGCCGCTTCGCAAACCTCTTCTACCGAAACGCCTTTAATGCCAGCAACGATCTTTCCGACCCGCTCGATCATGCATGGCTCATTGCGACCCTTTACCATGGCGCCTTCAACCCACTTCTCTTTCTTCACGACTTTGTAGCGCTCTGGTACTTCCGGCTCCTTTTTCTTCGGCTGCTTCTTGGATTGTTGCTGTTGCTTGCCCTTGGGTTGCTGCTTTGCTGGTTCCGACGGCGTACTGGTGCCGGTTGTTTCGGTGCTGGTACTCGTACTTGCGTCCGCTAGAGGTACATCCGTAGGCTTCGGCGCCTCGATGAGGTGCTTCCAGCCCTCGTGGCTAGGACGCACTTCGCACCAGGGGCCGTCGGTCTCGAGCATAAGACGATCGAGGTGGATTTCGCGAACAACGGCACAGTTCTCGGCGGTCTTGAAGCTGCAGCCGTTGGTGCCGATATACAACCCAAGATCCATAAGCTCGCGCATCTCCTCGGCGGTGCCCGTGAAGCTGTGGACGACGGCGCCGCGTTCCAGCTTCTCGAGCCGCGGGCCGAATTTCTCTTTTAGGAGGCTGACGAAGTCGGCGTGCGCGGCACGCGAGTGCAGGAATAGGGGTAGTTGTGGTTTCAGGGACACGGCTAGGTCGAGCTGTGCGGCGAATGAGTGGAGTTGGATCTTCTTGGAGCAGTAGTGCAAGCGGTCGTAGTCGAGCCCGAACTCGCCGAAGGCGACGAGTGGGCTTGGGCCAGCGCTACTACTCCGTGCCTGATCGATGAGATCTCGAAGTTCTTCGACGATCAACGTCGTCCTCTTGACATCAGGCTCGTCATCTTCTGAGGCGGGTTTAGAAGGATCTGCATCACAAGGCATCGTGTGCCCGTTTGTATCTACATGGGAATGTGTCGTGCTGAATATGGCACTGGAACAGGGGTGAATACCAGCGGTTGTGTAAACAGTACCGGCTTTCGTTCAGTCAGCTAAATCCGGTCCCGAATCAGTAAGGCAAATCCGAGTTTTACTTACGGTATTCTCTAGCTATCTGAAGAGCATGTCTGGAACTGGTAAAGTCAGAGCCCGTGATTATAAGCTTATGGCAGCCAACTTCCCGGGCTCTCGATACGACGGCGCTTAGGTCGTCGGGATGTCGTTGGGTGCCATGATACTGGCCACGGAATATTGGGTCTGCGAGATTGATACCAATCTAGAAAAGGACAATTAGTGATGAGACTAAAATAAATAAGGCCAAGTTAAGCTACAAGAATCGTGTCTCAGAATGCCCATAATGATTAATATATCAGAGGGGGGCTATATTAGTAACGTTAAGGACTTGACTTACATCAATATACCGTGGTTTGTAAGTTGTGTTATTTGCCGGGCCGGATGCCGGCACAGAATCTGGCTCGCCAGCAGACATCCTAGGAACTGATGAACAGATGCCTCTATTACGAACTCTTATAACTGATAAGTGTTTGGGGCTTAGGCTTATGAGACGGAAGGATAGTGGACTTCGAAAAAACATTAAAGACGAACTACCTTAACAAGGACTTATTAATTCCCCATAACTAGGCAGCCAATGTTTATAGCCTCATCTGTCTCTCGTATTATCTTCAGAATAATTGAAATTGTATGTATTGCGTGGGTTGGCTTAGTGAGTCGCTTTTAAGCGTAGAATGAGCCTCGACGTGTTATCTGATTTATTAGATCTTGGATCTTAGATATAAAGGTACATCTCTTATGTATTTTCAGATCTGCTAAATTAAACTATTCCAACGCACGTGCTTTCGTGGAGTAAACGGCAGGGGGTCAATTTCACATGTAACCTGAGCGCGACAAGAAACGTTTGCATAGTAACACTGATGCAAGGTTGGAACTATTGTCGATTGGTGCATTAAAGTAATATTTCTATGGGAAATTGTTATAATTTCTCTATAGACTTATGTCTTTTTTTAAAACATTTTAGTTTGAATACATTCATGCATAGGTACATACTAGAGCTAAGGTACCTATATACCTTAGGTAGGTACATACATATGTACATATCTTATCTGCCAAGGCCTAATTGCGGGGCAGAAGTTGAAGAGGGAGATACATGTACCTTTGAACAGGGGAGGGTAGGACAGAATCCTGCAAGCACTTAAAGACAACAAAATGCCATGTTCGAGTCCAACAAACTATTAAACTATAGAAGTCTCAAAATAATATATATGGTAAAATAAAAATAAATAGAATTATTCGAGAGTAAAGAATATGTAATTATACGTAGTTACCTAAGGTATATATATATACCTATATATACATGTGAATGCCTTAAACTAAGCGGTACATATCCCACCTTGATCCCACCCGTTAGGTAACCTCGACCCCGCGTCAAGACGCGTTTAGTGGCTTTTTTTTCTGCCAGTCATGAACAAACAGGCAGGGGCAAGCCCTTGCTGATTAATTCTCAAATGATTGCAGCTGGCGAAACTTAACCAAATGCCTGCCAAAGAGGGTTTAATTGTTCCGACTGTTTTTCTTTACGCGCTAACCCGGAAACGCGCCATGAATTCTATTGGGACGCGTTTTCTACATAAAAATCCACTGTACTCGAAGTCTTTTCCTTCCAAACATCTCCCACTCAACATCAACCACAACAGGCCATAACATCATACTACATACATTGGATCTGCATTGCTTTTGCATACAGATATTTGTGGCTCTGGATTCATTATTTACATTGCCTAAGTCTTAACTTTATTTCCTTCTTCTTTACTCAATTCTTCATTTTCCACCCCACCGCCATTCCTTTCTCGGGTCTCTCAAAACCCAACACTCACCTTCAGCATGTATGTCAAGAAGCGTGATGGACGCCAGGAGCGCGTTCAGTTCGACAAGATCACAGCCCGTGTTTCAAGACTATGTTATGGTTTAGACACAGACCATGTCGATCCCGTTGCCATTACCCAGAAGGTCATCTCTGGTGTCTATGGTGGTGTCACCACAGTCCAGCTTGACGATCTCGTAAGTACACGATATCTCATGAGAGTTGGTTCTCCTCTAACTAGTTATTTCTTATAGGCAGCTGAGACGGCCGCATATATGACCGTCACTCACCCAGACTATGCTATCCTTGCTGCACGTATTGCCGTGTCAAACCTCCACAAACAAACGAAGAAGCAATGGTCTTCTGTCATCAGCGACCTTTACCACTACGTCAACCCGAAGAACATGAAACCATCTCCTATGATCTCCAAGGAGACGTACGAATGTGTTATGAGACACAAGGAGGATTTTGACTCCGCAATTGTCTATGACCGAGATTTCAACTACCAATACTTTGGCTTTAAGACTTTGGAGCGGTCTTACCTACTGAAGCTCAACGAGAAGATTGTAGAAAGGCCACAGCACATGATCATGCGTGTAGCTGTTGGTATCTGGGGCGATGATGTAGAGAAAGTCATTCAGACTTACAACCTCATGTCCAGCAAATACTTCACCCATGCTTCCCCCACCCTCTTCAACGCTGGAACCCCCCAGGCGCAGCTAGCATCCTGCTTTTTAGTCGACATGAAGGAAGATAGCATCGAGGGTATCTACGACACCCTTAAGACTTGCGCTATGATCTCCAAGACAGCCGGTGGTATTGGTCTCAACATTCACCGCATTCGTGCCACCGGTTCATACATTGCTGGCACGAATGGTACCTCCAACGGCATTGTGCCCATGCTGCGAGTCTTCAACAACACTGCGAGATACGTGGATCAGGGTGGCAACAAGAGGCCTGGCGCCTTTGCTATCTATCTCGAGCCCTGGCACCAGGATGTCTTCGAGTTCCTTGACCTTCGCAAGAACCACGGTAAAGAAGAGGTCCGTGCACGCGATCTTTTCCTCGCTCTCTGGATTCCCGACCTTTTCATGAAACGTGTTGAGAAGAACGGCGAGTGGACCCTGATGTGCCCTAGTGAGTGCGCGGGTCTTGCTGATGTCTACGGTGATGAGTTTGAGGCTTTGTATGAGAAGTACGAAGCAGAAGGTCGCGGCCGCCAGACGGTCAAGGCTCAGAAGCTATGGTACGCTATTCTGGAGGCTCAGACCGAGACTGGAAATCCCTTTATGCTTTACAAGGATCACTGTAACCGCAAGAGCAACCAGAAGAACCTTGGAACCATCCGCAGTTCAAATTTGTGCACTGAGATCGTCGAATACTCGGCTCCCGATGAGGTAGCCGTCTGCAACTTGGCCTCTCTTTCGCTGCCCTCATTCGTTGATTACAACAAGGGCACCTACGACTTCCAGAAACTACATGAAGTTACCCAAGTCGTCGCCCGCAACCTAAACAAAACCATCGATGTCAACTACTATCCTGTCCCGGAGGCACGCAACAGTAACATGCGCCACCGTCCTATTGGCTTAGGTGTTCAGGGTCTTGCAGACACCTTCCTAGCACTACGTATGCCATTTGAGTCCCCGGAGGCTCGACAATTGAACAAGCAGATCTTTGAGACTATCTACCACGCTGCCTTGACCGCGTCTGTGGAGATGGCCAAAGTTGAAGGTACCTACTCCACGTATGAAGGTTCTCCTGTCTCGCAAGGCATTCTCCAATACGATATGTGGAATGTTACTCCTAGTGACCTCTGGGACTGGGCTAGTCTCAAGGAGCAAATTAAGCAACATGGTGTACGAAACAGCTTGTTGGTTGCCCCTATGCCCACCGCCAGCACTTCCCAAATTCTGGGCAACAACGAATGCTTCGAGCCTTATACTTCGAACATCTACTCTCGTCGTGTCCTCGCTGGAGAGTTCCAAGTCGTCAACCCTTGGCTGCTCAAGGATCTTGTTGATATGGGTCTCTGGTCTGACGCCATGAAGAACCGCATCATTGCCGAAGGTGGTTCAATTCAGAACATCCCCAACATCCCTGCGGACCTCAAGACCCTTTACAAGACCGTCTGGGAGATCTCTCAACGAACCATCGTCCAGATGGCTGCCGACCGTGGTGCCTTCGTCGATCAGTCTCAATCGTTGAACATCCACATGAGAGAACCCACCATGGGTAAGATTACCAGCATGCATTTCACCGGTTGGAAGCTCGGCCTAAAGACTGGCATGTACTATCTCCGTACCCAAGCGGCTGCCGCACCTATCCAGTTCACTGTAGACCAAGAGGCCCTCAAGGTTGAAGACTCGAATTCCGCCAGGTCAGGTACGCTGAAGAAGCGTGCCCCTCCGGGTAATTATGTGTCTTCTCCATCCGCAGGTCTTTCCAGGCACGTATATTCCCAGCGGGACGACTTGAACAATAATCTGGCAGCGCCGCTTACCAATGGGATGCCGACGCCCAGCACCACTCCTCCCCTAGTCTCGGAGGTCAAGGTACCTCGACCTGTTGCATCACCCAATAAGGCTGTACCGTTTAAGGCAGATGTCGAAGAGGGCGATAGTCCCAAGGCTCTAGCTACCGAACCGGCAGAGAAGATCAGGGAGGAGGAACTCCCAGAGCCGGCCCTCGACGGCCAGAAGCCGAACCAAGATGAAGACAAGGAGGACAAGAGCAAAGAGCGCGAGTACGACATCTACGCCGATGCCGTCTTAGCTTGTAAGTCAAAATGATTAATTCTTAGTAACACATTCTAATAACTACCTACGCAGGCAGTATCGAGAACCCTGAGGCCTGTGTTATGTGCAGTGGTTAAAAGGTTTGATGAGGATATGGGAATGATTATGACACGTAGTTGACGAGGGAATAATGGGAACCGGGTTGTTAATGACAGAAGCGTGTCTGGTTTGGACCGCACGGAGAAACGTAGTAAATGAAGATGCATCGATGCAATTGCATCAGGGTTGGGGTCCATAGGACATGTGTTTAGCTCTACGCATGGGCTTGTATAACTATTTTCAATAGTTCTCCTGAGAAGTCGTATCTGGAGTTATTTATTGGCGACCATCGCGCATTTGATTACGGCTTGTCGCCGTGAATCAATCAATGAAGTTATTTAATAGGCATATTCTGTCACTAAGATGTGTGATGTGTAGGCGTTCGGATGAATCTATATTGCAGTTACCCCCGAAGCAATTCCTTGTCATGATGGTTGACCTGGTACATACCTTATCTTATATTCCACGTTGCCATGGGTTCATGGTTATTTGGAAACCGATGAGACAAGTAGTAGTATTTATTATATGTGCTCATTTAAATCATCATAAGTTGATGCGACGTACTTCTGGTAGATAATATCGGTTATTGATACCTAGCACATTGTACAGCTGTATTTTTCTTTTTGCTTTCGACAAGACAAGTGGCTCAATATGTCTTTTGCGCATACATACAACTTCTTATATCTGGAGATTGAGAGTGGCCTTAAAACTCATGAAGCAACGCCACCCGTTAGGTCAGGTAAATACAATGAACATCCTCGTGGTGCTCCGAGACAGTGATCAAGACACAGCGATGCTCGGGAGGATCCTATTAGGCATCTGTTAAAGCCATCAATACATAAACGTAGGTACCTAAGGAGAATATCCTACCTGCCAGACATAAAAGATCTAGGACTTGGTAGGATCAAAACAGCATGCGGGAGTAGAATTAACCATGGTTCCGATTATAGGGTGTTCGACACGCGTCCTACGACATGGGCAAGACATGGAATAAAACATTAGGGTTGGTGTCGTACATAATCTTCCCTATCACATTGGAAAGTGTAGCTTGACGGGTAGCTAGGACCTCTGGTTCCCTTCCGAAAGATTATCCGTGTGCCTTACCGACTACAATTATTTCGATAGCAGTTTAGGTCAGGGCAGATCATATCAGTGTTTTAATGACGGAGGGGAGAAAGACGAGCGGTTCGACAAACCCCAGCCACGTACATAACCTGCTGAGAAGTTTCGCCTGCGGCCACGGCAGGCCAGGCGGGTTTCGGTGAAACATATAGACGGGCAATGCCAATATAGGTAGATGTTTGTTGCTCGGCCAATGACGGTGATGGAGCCAATGGTATACATATGTATGTATGCGGGAGATGCTAGGCCTACGAGGTGTGCACTACCCTAGCGCCTCAGCCGTCTACGTAATATTACGGGGAAGGATGTTTTGCTCCGGGACGAGATATATGGTATATGTGTATGTGTGTGTGTATGTGTGTGCCAAGCTGGTTCCTTGCCGTAGCACAGAACATCAGCTTTTTCTCGAACGGGACAGGTTTTTGCGGCAGCTTGCTAGCGTCTGGGGGAGCATTGTGTGTCCAGCGCAAGTTGCAAGTTGCACCGGATGGTGGTGCAAATTTCCAGCTGTTTCACTTCGCGAGGCTGTTTTCTTCCCGGCGATAATTCTTTGTCCCCTATGTCGCTACTTTGAAGATATGCGGCCGGAGCGATCATAGCCAGGTAATTGCTGGGAAGTTGGAATGAAGCCTAAGTCCTAAGTCCTATGACCTATGACCTATGTGTAAGGAGGATTGAACGCGAATGGATGGTTCGGGACCACAACTCCCTACTCAGGTGCTGAGTCGTGCCACGACGGGAACTCGGTGAGACCGGTTATCGACACTAGCAACGGTGAGAACCCGTTTAACATATGCCCAAAGCAACTAGGCCCAGTAGCTTGTTAACGTAAGTAATCGTAGGTGGTTAACCTAGAGTGTCTATTAATGCATCGAGTACCTATCAACCCACAACGCTGGGACACATCGAGACGGTTAGTTGTCGCTGGGGAAATGCGTCTGTTGTAACTTGATGTGACATCAACGGACAACTCATCAACATCGGCTGGGCCAGTTTGATGGGGCCTCCCACTAGACAGGGTCTTCAATCTTGCTTTTTCTTTTCTTCTTGCAGGATACGGGTAAGGTATATTCACCTTCACCCCTTCACCCCTTCACCCCTTCACCGATGAGAATTCATAATTATTCAAATACAGGTCTCATATTAAATGGCTCTTCATAACCGTATGCTTTTGACAGTTAGGGACCTAGGTTAGCTACACACTTAGGAGAATTAAGTTAATCAAGTTGGTTCTTGGACTTAGACCAGGAACGTGTTCTGCAAAACTCCTGATAACTTCTGATAATGGCCTTAGGTAAGTTGAAGAGTGGAGGGTGGAGGGTGGAGAGTCGGAAGTGGAGAATTGGACTGAGAAGCTGAAAATCTAGATGCAAGGCACGGTTGCAACTTTTGCTCTTAGCTATGATTGATGTCATACCTTTTTCAACCAATCAGATTAGATAAACTTAGTAACTAATTCATGCTTAGGATCCTGCCCCGCATGAACTTCAATGATGGATCCACACGTCTTTCAAATGAGACCTCCATCATATGTTTTTAGCAAGAACAAGGACACCAAGAACAAGGACAGCAACGCATACATACTCTTGTTCATAACTTGAATATGACCCCTGATACATAGAATATCTCGTATTCAGCCCAACCTCTTAGATCTTTTAGATGATAATACTACCTCCAGATACATAAATGCAGCCAGACGGTATCCAGCACAGCTATTGGCACGGCGCTTATACCGAATGCCGGTCTACAATAGCTTAGATAATCAATATCACCAGCCAATCAAATCTCTGGGTTACCATGTCCAGTTGTCCATATACAGTAATCGCCTTAATCGTAACCCTTGCAGGGTTTTTTCCTGGAGCTCCCTCCGCTTTGAATCAATCTATTTACCTATCCTAGTATCGACTCTCTTTCCAGAATTCCAGAATTTCCTTGGTTGCTTCCACTAAATCAACAAGCTAGCATATGGGCATCACATTCAAATTTCAGAGTCTACGAATCAGTGGTTGTTTGTTTATTATCACAACCATGTACACATACAGGCTAGTTGGATACTACGACGAATACATCCAAATCGGTAGACATCTAGAACAAGAAACTACCTAGGTAAGGCGGTAGGCGGTTGTTTAGACAAATTCACAGAACATTACCAACTCCGATTTCCTTTCTTGATGCTATACATTATATGATCTTCAACGCTAATTATATGCTATTTAACCATCGAATTCATAGTTGTGTTTATTTCCCCAGTAGTCTGAGGTCTAGCATTGCCAGATACAGCTTACATAGATATTAGCCTTCCTTCTTTTAGTCCGACCCAAATTAGATACAGACGACTAAAGACAATTCCAGCTAAGATAGGACCAGTAAATATTAATGAGCCCGTCGCGTACATGCTTGCTTTGCCTAGGTACATAGATCAGATGTAGTACTCAATGATGCAACTCGGTATGGGCTGTCAAGTCCCGTGCCAAGTATACATGTACTGGCTGACTGGACGATGCGGGCCAAGCTTGCAACTTAGCACCTGCTATCATTGATGCTGTCCTCGTTCATGCTAGCATCGACGATCAGCAACCGGATTTTTGGGAGCTACGCAACAATATGTATTGGTGGTGGATCAGGTACACATTACGCTAGGCTTTCATTAGTATGAGGTAGCCTCAAATCATCACCCTCGGTACCTACATCTATGTACCTTTATATGTGGACGCGGGTACCTTTTTCCATGCAGGTTTGGTGCAAAATACAATATTTGACTAGACAACACCCTAACTACGGGAGTACCTAAATAATTCTGGAGGGGAGTTGTAGGTACAATATCTTTAGTGTTTGTGTACATCGAAACATTGATACCTGCATGTGGATCAGCTAGCCACATCATGTTAGAATAAATCAGATTACTTGAGGAACTGGAGATGATACATTCGTTAGTTAGTATTCAATAGGATCAAATTTCATGTATGACTTAACCTCTCTGGTCGATTAATTATTTAATTGCCTTGGTAACCGATCATCCGCTCTTTCCTTCTCCGTAGCTCCTTCACAATTTTTACCTCCCACGTGTAAGGAAGAATCACCAAGCAAGCAAGCAACAAGTTTCCAAATATTAAAGCTTGAAACAGCTGCCTTCCTTCCAACTTTCTTCCTCTTTCACCACCAAGATTCAACACCCAAGTCGAAAGATTCAAGTTGTGATAGCCTCGACTTGCGAACTCTTGCCCACCTGGATCTTACTCCGTCTCTGCCTGGTAAGTAATTATTTCTCGTCCCTGTCAACAACCAGTTTGCATTGTTGTCCCTACACATTTCGCGCGCATATACACACCTCACCTCATCATTGTCCCCTTCCAAACCACTACCTATTATTACCTTGTCGGTGCGTGTCACCTTGCACATTTTTACCAACCCTTTCCCTTCACTTTCCAATTTAATCACTTTTCATTACCTATTACTTTCTGCACCTCTGTTTCGTGTCTTACATCGCACAAGTACATACACAACCGAAGGAAATTACCTCCTTGAAGGACATTCAGGTGCGCTTTCCTCTCTGGTTAGATAACCACTATATCGTACCTGCCTTCTTGTAGCTGCCTACCTCGCAGCCTCTCTTCTAACCGATAAACACAATCGGTCCCCTCTTCCCAATCTTGACATCTATCCAACTCATCTCTTTTTTCACAACATTTTCCACATTCACAAACATAGATCTTCCACCAACATCACAACTGTGAACTCACCCTCATCCACACACGAACACACATTTCACAATTTTGCACGCTTTTTGAGCATCCATTTCTACGATTTTCTACGGTTTCATTTTGACAGCAGCAATTCTTACCATTCTTGGTTCACAGTCAACCGATCTCAACATATCGACCTTTCGTCATCAATCTGCCTACGGCATTATCCAAGATGAAGTTCTCTACGATCCTTGTTGGCGCTGCTGCAGCCGTTGCTGCGGCTCAGGGCTCCGGCTTCCCTCAGGGCTTCCCTGAGTGCGGTGTAAGTATTATCCTCTATTTACTTCCTAATTCTTGATGCCTAACCCCAAAAAATATAATATCGAATTACACTTACTCAATCCTTTTTTAGGTCACCTGCGTCAACAACATGTTGAGCCAAGCTTCCCAGCTTGGATGTTCCGACGTCACCCCCTCGTGCCTCTGCACTAAACAGAACTTCATATACGGAGTTAGAGACTGCGCTACGGAGTCGTGCCCTGACCAATCCGTCGCCCAGCAGGTCATCCAGTACGGTAGTCAATACTGCGCTGGTAAGTCTCATTGTAGCCAAGTTAATTGGTAACTTACCCATGACTCTGCTAACCATTCGGGATAGGTGTTGGTGTTGCCGTCTCTGGTATTCCCTCTGCTGTAAGTTGTAGCTATGAAAATTTGGTTCTAACTTTGGCTGACTCATGAATTCTTAGACTGGCGAGAATCCCAGTGCCTCCACTACTTTGGTTGCGACCGATTCTCCCACCGCCAACCCTAGTGTAAGACTTTCCCTATATCTAAATGTTTTCTATACAACCACTAACAAAAAACCGAAGTCCTCTCAGGGATCAGCTTCGGCTTCAGCTTCGGCTTCATCGGATTCGTCCGCCTCGACGGCTTCTGAAGGTTCAACTTCCGGAGGATCAGCAACTCAAGAGTCCAGCAGTAAGAGCCTCTCCTTCACCATCGTAACGGGAAGCTACGGTGACGTTTATATCTCAATGCTCACAGACAATTCAGCTTCCGGTACTGGTGTTGTTGTTATCCCTATCACCACGGAGACCATCTCGACTACTATCAGCGGCAGCGATGGCCCCATCACCTCGGCGGTTGTTAGTACTGTCTTCTCGACTTCTGGAGCTTCCGCCTCGGGCAGTGCCACCTCTGGAGCCGAGTCTGGATCTGTCACTACGGGTGTGATCGAGTCGACTGTTACCACCAACGGCTCAACCCTGGTAAGCAGCATCACCACCACTGGTCCGGCAAGCAGTGAAACATCGGAGGGAAGCAGCGAGTCTGCCCCCAACGGAAGCGCCGAGTCTGCTTCATCTACTTCGAATCCCGCCGCACAGCGAACCGCAGCACCAGTTGGCCTCATTGCTGCTGCTGGTTTAGCCGCTCTGATGCTATAAACAACTTGGTGAGCAAGTGATTTGGTCAGGCTGAATCTCAATTCAGAAAAAAACGGCATTTGGTTTGAGAGGGTATGCAAACAGGTCACATAATATTATTGGTCGGTTAGTGTGAGGATGATTCACGATAGCTGGGAATTCCCCTTGACTTGATGATGCGATGACTTCGAGGTTACGGGCGGCTTTTTACGATGTATAAATGATTCATTGTCCTTCTTAGGACTACTAATACCTGTTTTAGAGATACCCACCCCCTGAGCAGATGGCATCAGGCATCAGGCAGTGGAGTTGGCTTCTCGCTTTCATCAATGGAACTAATAAATAGTGCTTCTTTTCATCAACGCATATGTCTCTGTGTGAAGTACCCAATTCATGTTATGCCCAGTGTGCAGTTGTTGTTGTTGTTTTTTTGGACCAGGTTGTAACTCGCGCATCGTATGATAGCTAATAGCTGCACTTGCATGCATTTACGCATAAGCCGAAAAAAGAGGTTTATAACATAACTAGTAACCCGTTGATAATTCATTTTGTGAATCGAAGTACAAACTACCGTAGTCTTTTACATCCTTACCCTTATGCAATCCCTTGTCAATCTACCTGCATGTACAGGTAGGCATAGTAGCTTCATAATTTTGATTTTGGCCAACTGGTAGCCACTGCTATTAAAACCTTCGCTGCCAGGTAGGTACACTTGTATATACCTGTATATACCTGTATATATATAGGTACCTTACTCCTTTACAGCCCAGCCCAACCAGTTCAATCCAAAAAAAAAACATTCCCCTTATCACGAACTTCGGCTTCAATTATTTATTCCTTCGCTTTACTCCTATTGCCTTATCCATGATAACCCTCTACTATTTCGGTTTCGGTTGACAATATGGGGCAGATGCAAAGTATCACTATGAGGCGACATCAACAGTCGCCTGCTCCAACATTGCCAGACAATACTAAGCCGGCTTTCTTGAACCTACCACTAGACATAATTTACATCATCTACAATTCATTCTTAGACCCAGTATCAAAACTAACCCTTACTCTGACATGTAAAGACATGTTCGCCGTAATACCAATCAAATCGCTGCCAAGACTAGACCTCTCTGACCTGGGAGAATTCCTCCACCTGCTTGAGAAAGACATGAATGGTCCACGGCCGAGTTACTTTTGCCGTGCCTGTACGCGTCTACATTACCTCGAAGACACCCGTGGGGACGAAACCATATTCAGTTATAGCCACGCCATAAAATCAAATAACGGTTGCTGCAGTTACGTATGGTTTAGTGGAAGCGATTTCACCATCGGATACCACCACATCCGCCTCGCTATGAATCGGCACTAGTACGGCGCACCTGGAGGCTTGGCGTTGAGCGCATTTGAGGTCGTAAACCAGTCGAGTTACCGCCAGCCGCGTTGGTTTCGGAAATGGTCGGCAAGGATTATAGATGACGAGCTTTTCCTGTCTTCTACGCAAAAGGCCCGCTTCGTCGGTGCCGAGGGTGACTTTCGAGACCTCCTTGACCGGAGGGAATACCAGATATGTGCGCATACTTGGACAATGCAGCGTGGGGTTGGGTTCAGGGACAAGGAAGAGGAAGAGGGGGAGAAGCTTCAAAAGTATATTCGAAGGCTTCAGGCGGCCTACGACCAGAGGGTGCGGATGGACGGTGGCGCTCCTGAAGCTCAAAGTTACTGGTATAACCCTCAATGGGGCCCAGGCCGCACTGTCAACTCCTTTAGGCTTGAGAAAAGCACAGATTCCATGCTACATTCCAAGCTTTTAAGGCAATGTCGGGACGTCCCTGGATCGTGCCTCTTCTGTGATACTGATTATACAACGACTCTCGAGAAAAGAAAGGTTGGACATTGGTGGGAGCGTGGGCAGGAGGAATGGGTCCTAACCATCGTCACCTATCATCAGCTGGGACACGGTCTGATACCAGATGACCCGACATGGATAGCGTTTAAGACGAAATATTCCAGCTATACCGGGCCTTTCCGCGAAGAATTTGGATCCTTACCTAGAAGCGTGAAGGAAAAGTGGGATGAGTCTGTTTCACGCGACACTGCTGAGTGAACACTTCATTCGACAACGCTTGAGTATGCTCTGCTGGGGAGGTATTCCCAACTGGTGGTTGGGTAGGGGTTATCTTAACTTAAGCGCTCGACCTACATTGATTTGTTTGTTTTTACATAGCGGTGCTTGACTTAAGCCAAGGGGTAGATACATGTAGATAATTGACAGCCAAATACATATCATAGTATGCTTTCACGTTGAAGAACACTGTCACTCGTAACGTTTTGCGGGGTGTACGTAGCTTCGTCTTTGAAATAATAACTTCGTATGCCGTATGGCGATTGGTTTTGATCCTAGATTACGATGCTATCTAAAAGAATGGTTAGGTCACATTAGGTAGAACAAATGAGGTTAGTGATTTGGAAACCTGGCCCAGGTTGAAAAAAAGGGGGGAGTGTTTTGTAGACAACATTTATTGGGAAATCACAACTTTTCTAATGATAGGTATGCAAACTACTAAGCGTAATGACGTTTCGTAAAAAGGATGAGCAGATATACGAAGTCCGTTCAAGCAAGCATCGCTATGCTAAATACTCTCTTCAAGTTGTTAGAATAAATTCGACTCGCAAATGTGTTCCGGTTTCTATCGCTTGAAATTCGACGATGTTTATAGACTTGGGTACTTTGTTTTCCCCAGTGCTAACGCGGGATAATACACCTCATATACGCATTGCAGGAGTTTATCTACTCATATTGTGAAGTTTCGCTAGGGTAAACGCTATAAGAAACGCATTGCGTCCACCGTCTCTCCTATCTCACATATAACCTTAGTGATTCTTATACGTTTCGCCCGGACTACCCTTACTAACGTCCTTTCAGAGAATACTATAGGATCCTGTTGCTCTTGGGCGGAGACCTGGCATCAAATCAAGTGTCCTCAATCTCCTATGTTGCCTTTTGAAAATGATCTTCAAGCTTGTCGATCAAATTTTTCATGGGCTCCAATGCACCTAGAGGCAGCTCCAACGGTGGCTCCAACTCAGTCCGTGGCTCAGACCAGGGGCACACAAGACAGGAATACATCCCACGTAGTTCGACTTCTGCTTTGTGAATGTGGATGCCAATTGTGTCTAATATGATAGAGAGGGTTCGCCTGGTATCAATATCATTTTGATCGGCTATTGATAACTCGGGAGGCGGCATCGCCTGTGGATATCGCAACTCAAATTCCTAGTCAATGGGAGGGTTATTAAACCTACGGAGTACGGTTCCTATTTGATTAAGTCGGGCGATAATCCAGTCTAACCTGTTAGACATACAGCGCGGGTAACCATCAAGAATCCGACTAATCCTCACAAGAAGTTGTCTCCTGTGTTGGCGGCCTATGAAAATGTAATTCGTATTGCGTAACAGGAGGCGAATTCGGCCTTTAATTTGGTCTAATAGTTGGTAGGCTCTTGGAATAGCACCAACCATATCTTGCCATTGCTCCAATAGAAGTTGAAACTGCGGTGGCTGCGGCTCTGACTCAGGTTGGTCACTCATAGTGTCACTCATGGTAATGAAACGCGACTTGTTCTCGCTGTCGTCTGTGGGATGGCGTAATAATGTTGCTGGCGTAGAGGTTCTCGATCAGAATGGAACAGCTGACAGGACAGGACCAAGGCCGAAAGAACGATTGGTCGTTGAGTGGAATATTCGTAGTTATGTGAAATTTTATTGAAAGAGAAGCAAACGATCAAGATCTTGGAAAGCGACAGGTGGTTTTTAACTAGCTAGCTACCTAGGTACCTGCCCTCGATTGACTTTGGTAATATGGAAGGAAGCCTGGGGGTATCCCCAAGGTAACTACTACCTGGTAGGAGCTAACTTCTAGGAAAGAGATGATATCTTGAGGGAAGCCACCCCGTATTAGAAACCTTATATGTATATAATACCTACCTACATATGTACCTAAAGTATAATATCTTTTACATCTTCAACCCCCCTACCTTCACTTTCTCTATTTCATCTCTAATCTTCGCAGTTAAATACATAAGCACAATATCCTAAATAGGTACTCCCATCAATTTCTACAAGCCTTATAAGGGGATTCTATCTAATAGATACTATGCGCATAACTTTCTTATTGTTTTCTTTGCGTCTATCGTGAGATAATGATAACTTCGACTAAGTTAGAACGTCAGTACATAGTGTAGCCGACGAACTAATGCACCCCAGATCACGAGATGGTGCGGGGTAGCTTCATACAGGCGCATGCAAGACAAGGGCAACCGGGATATATTTAGCCTTATATTACGCCTCTCTATAATCCTGAACGCTACGAAATTTACACTAGGTTAGGTACCTAAGGTCACCATGGCTTCCACAAAGATCCGACTTGCTACTGCATCCCCAGGGACGCAGGCGACTACCAAGGAGACCCTCGCACAGCTTCGTCACATCGCCCAACGCGCCGCGGCTAAAAAAGCTGATATCCTACTACTCCCGGAAGCTTATCTCGGCGGCTATCCCCGGGGCTCAGACTTTGGATGCAAGATAGGGTCTCGTACTGCGGAGGGCCGTGACGATTACCTGCGCTACTTCAAGAATGCTGTAGACCTGGGAGACACTGTTGGCGACGGGGCCGGAGCCGGTGACGCTTGGGTCAGACGGCAGTTGAGTGTTGACGCTGTAGTAGCCGGCGATGCGCAGGGACCGGTGAACAGGGGTGACGGGACGAGAGAAGAAATCGAGCGAATCGCAAGGGACACGGGCGTCTTCATCGTGGTGGGGCTCGTAGAGAAGGCAGGGGGTAGCTTGTATTGCTCTGTTATATATGTTTGCCCTAAGCTAGGGGCTATCGGGAAAAGGAGAAAAGTCCAGCCAGTAAGTATGATATTTCTTACCTCCTGTGACTAGCCAATGGCCCTTGCAGGTTATATGAAGCCACCTAGGTCATAGTTGGCAAGGTCAGGTATTGTAGATTTTCCACCTTTACTTGTTGAACTGCCGGTGTTTCCATAAGAGAAATCCCATTGGGATTTCAATCCGGATCATTATCCAATTAGCAGCTGCAGTCTCAGCAGAATACACATACAGTTCTACAAGGATGAGAATTCTATGGGAGACATACTATCAGGAAACATCCATAAGAAAACAAAACCTGACATAATTAGCTAACAGCAGACAGACAGGCACAGAACGACTTATCTGGGCGCAAGGATCGGCTGCGACCCTCAAAGCAGTGAGCACCACAATCCGCGGCGTCCGTATTAATCTAGCTGCCGCTATCTGCTGGGAGAACTATATGCCTCTTCTACGACAGAGCCTCTACGCCCAAAATGTCAATCTATATCTCGCGCCTACGGCAGATAACCGTGACGCTTGGCTGTCGTGTAAGTGACCTGCCCCCTTTTTTAACCTCGGAGTTGTTATTCATTTCTGGGAGTCATTGCTCCGAAGAATACGCCTATAGTATTGTATTAGAATGAAATGATAGAAGACCTAATGCTGGTATATGCAGTGATGCGCACCGTAGCCCTCGAGGGCCGCTGCTTCGTCGTCAGCTCCAACATGTGCGTGCGTGGAGATGCCGCCGCGGACTCCGCAGCCACGCGTAACCGCAAGCATAGAGTTTCAACTCACAGCGACCACCAAAAAGGCGCGGCCGGAAGACGGAACTCGTTTATGACTGAAGACGGCTTCGAGATCGCGCTGCCCCTATCTCCAACCTCCCCGGGTGCACCTGGGAAACCGAGGATGGCAAGCCAGGGCAGGAGAAAGTCTGTGTTCGACGAGGATGGCAACGAGATCGCGCTTCCGGAAGGAGACCTGACGGCCTCCGCCGTGGTCGAAGAGGAGGAAGAGACGCGGGTTGAGCTCGATTCTCCAGCATTAGTGAAAACTCCTGCTGCAGTAAGCAATAGCTTTGTCTCTCGCGGTGGATCCAGCATCATCTCTCCTTTCGGCGATGTCCTCGCTGGCCCGCAATGGGAGGACGAGGAGGGCATTATCTACGCGGACGTCGATTTCGATGATTGCATCCGTGGAAGGCTGGATTTGGATGCTGCGGGAAGTTATTCAAGGTATAGAATACCCACCCCCTTGCCCCTTTTCTACACTATGACTGCAGTGCTATTAGGTGCATATTCAGCTAACAACGGACTCTAGGAATGACTCTTTCAAGTTCTCCGTGGCAGGTTTGGATCTTGATCCCTTGCCATACTACTAGTTTCCTTTTTCCTCAATATGCTTTTAAATCTATATCGTTCTCGAATCCTAGCGATGATCCAGTTGAAGGTAGTACGATGTAAGGTATCGCGTGGTCTAGCCTAGTTGTGCAAATCTTTTTGAGATCCGGGCTGCTGGGAAGTTATACGTGTACCTACACCCCCTTTTCTTCAAGTACCAGCCATTCATTCATTCACTTGAGTTGTTCGAGTCGAATTAACCTCACCTGTATAAAGCATCCTGCCAAGACTAATAGTATTTATAAGAGCAGCTCAATCGCAATCTTGTTCTAAATTCAACTTGTAGTACAGTAACGGGTATCTAATTCGCCATCAATCCCAGCCGGTGCCTGCCTGCATGTCTTCCGTAGCCCAGAAGCCACCCCGAAGCCACCCCAAACGCAAAAAAAAATAGGAAAATGACTCAAAAATGCACGAACTCCCCTATCCTCGCCCACCGCGGAATCGTGTCGTGGGACATCATCGCATTCGCGAGAAGAAACATTATCATACCCGTCTAACCTAATCTGCCAGTAACCTGCTGAATGAGATGAAGTTCTTCTAAATCGCTACACTACAAAGGGCTCGCTTGTTATCAAGATGAGCTCTTTCTTCGATGCTCGCGCTTCTCAACCCATATCTTCTACTCCTTGTCCTTCGTCACAAGGTTCTCGTCATTCTCTTCAGCCACGGCACCCTTCTCCGCCGCCTCGCGCGGGGATGCAAGCGGGCTGTTTACGCCACCAACGCTTCCACCAATGCTATCGGCACGATTGTGGTTGAAGAGGCCGCTACGGACGCTGGCGGCGTCCCCGGTGAGGCTTTGCTTTGCATAAAAACTATTGCGCTCGCCGGGTAGAGTGGGCGTAATTCCAGTTGTAGAGTAGATACTCGTACGTTCGTTGGCCCCGGCAATTCGCGAGGTCGACTGGTGTAGACCCGGAGTCGATATATCGCGACCACCGCTGCCGTCGATATTGGCACTGAGGACACTGAGCGGTAGGGACTCGCGGCTCCCTCCCCAGAGGGAGGATGGCGCGAGAGCACGTACCGACGCGTCGGTGTCCATAGACCTTCGACGGCGCCTCTTGCTAGAAGAAGCTAGCGTGAGGATCGACGCGTTGTCGGTGAGAAGATTATTTGCGGTGGCTGTATTGTAAGTGGTTGGATAGCCAGGGTTCGAATGGGGTGCAAGATACGGAGGAATCGCGGAGGCGGGAGAATTGGTGGGGAAAGGTTGGGTAAATTGGATAGTCTGGTAATTTCCTTGGTTGCCTTGATTGGACGAGTGACCTCCATGAGGCGGGCCGTTGACTGCGGTATTTGGTCCCATAGACTGGATGGTGGTGAGAGTAGTCGTTAGAGACCGTACAGAGGGTGCAGGGGAAGAGAAAGTGCTATCTCCTCCTTTTCGAGAATCGAGACCTCCACCAGCAGTGCGGCTCGTGCCTGCTACCGAGGATGCCATATGCGAAGGAGCATGGAGGGATTGGGTGGCTTCGTAGTCGGTGGACACGGTATGTGCTACAGAGGGGGCACCGGCGGTGGGAGGCGCGGTTTCTTCGGTAGATGTTCGCATAGAAGAACGACTTCCCGGGGCTAAAGAAGGATCAGAAATCCTAGCGCTGCGAGAGGTCAAGAAAGATGGATCACTCTGGTGGGTAGGTATGGAGATGCCGATGCGTCCAGACTGTGGGTATGGGTTGTTATTCTTCGAGGGTCGTTTCTTGGAACCCTTGGGGACGGCATCTCGTTTCGAATGGTTATGTCGACCGCCCTCGGTAGAGGAAGCGGCATTCTTGAAGTTGGCTAGCTTCTTGACCCACGTTGTGAAAGGCCGTCTGCGACCTGAGCGTTCTTGACGATCTGTCGTGATGAATAACATGTTAGAGATACAATGCTGCGTCATAGCTTAAGGAATTAAATGTATAGAAGGGCTAAAGAGGTGGGAGGTGGGAAAAGAGAGGGGGTGAAAGAAGAGATGAGATATATGTCTATAACTATGCCTTAGAGGAACCCGAGAAGAGGGAATACTCACCAGTAGGGAGAGGAGATGTCTCAGTCATGGCCATCTGGGGGCTAGACAGAGTTGCAAGGTGGCGATTAAACTGTAAATAGTCTTAGGTCAAGGTTTGATTTGGTGCACGTTTCCCCGGACTAGAATGCCAAATGAAAGGTAACGCGGTGATTTTCTGAGGTGTTGGCGCAATGACTCCCAATTGATGATAGTTGGCCCGCACAAAGTCGTTGGAAAGTTGGGCAGGTATGCGACAATGATCTAGACCTTATGATGTTGTCTGCTGTCTGCTGTCTGCTGTCTGTTGTCGTTCGGACTTTGAGGGTGGAGAGACGGAGAGATGGAGTGACGGCTTTTATTGAGATATCGAAATGCCCGTTCTTTCGGAAATAGGCTAACGTATTGGGCTCTGATGTTGTGGTAATAGGGGGGATGCGGCCCAATGTGACGAGATTTTCTACCTAATAGGACGGTATTAGGGTCTGTAGGGATGGAAATAATGGTAGAATGGTTCTCTTTAAGACACCATCATCAGTGATGAGGTGCGACGGGGAATGGATATTTTGTGGATATGGGATATGGGAAATGTGGAAATATGGAAATGTGGATATTATGGCTGTATGGCTGAATGCAGGTGGGTTTTAGTTTTAGGTATGTCTCCGAAATCTGTTATCGACAACTCTGTCCAATTATAACGCTCCGAAATGAGCCTTCCAGAAATATCCCCCTTGCTTTGAATCCCACTTTTCGAGGCTGATGCTATTTCTCCACCTATCTGCCTACACGCTAAACACGCTAAAAGCTTAAGGGTGCTTACAGGTAGAACATTACCTAATTCAGGTAACATAACATCATTAGCCAGCCACAGTTACTTCCAATTTATACTTCACTTACCTATTTTACTTCGCTTCACTTATATGATGTCGTAAAATACGCAGCCCAGCCTTAGCATTTACATATTCGCTCTGGCTATTTCGATGGATAAGGCTAGATTCCCACCTCTCATACAGAATATCACCGGTCGACTACGAAGATGAGAGATGAGCAACATATCGATGCTCAGCAATGTCTATCCAGCAGTTGCCGGAGCATGTCATTGCACAGATCAAGTCATCTACCACCATAACTTCGCTTAACAGTGTTGTCTGTGGCTTGGTAAATAATTCTCTCGATGCAGAAGCTACTAAAATCATAGTTTCTATCGACTATATTCGAGGTAATTGCTCCGTCGAGGATAATGGCTTAGGAATCCCTCCAGGAGAGTTCAAGCCTACTGGTGGCCTCGGCAAACTTCATTATACGTCTAAATTCCCCCCTCGTAGCGATACTCATGGTCGACACGGCTCTTTCTTATCTTCTATAGCTGCATTGTCGTTGTTGACAATAACGTCTCATCATCATGGCTATCACTCTCATAATTCAATTAAAATTCATAACGCCGAAATCTTAGCGAGGCATACCCCTTCGTTGCCAGAACAGAGGTTGTTAAGCTTTCCTCATGGAACTCGGACGACCGTTCGAGATCTCTTCGGGTCTATGCCGGTGAGAGTTAAGCAGAGGGCGATTGATGCTGAAAAAGGTGCTAACGCCAAGGATTGGGAGTCACTTAAACGTGCCCTCGTGGCGCTGCTACTCGCTTGGCCAGGCCAGGTTTCCATATCACTTCGCGATTCCGTCGATCGGCGTAGTTTTACAATCCGCACCCCCGAAGAATCCTCGAGTTCTCAAGACAAAAAACATGACGTCCTTAACCTTACCACCCGTGTTTCGAGGACATTATTCCAAGCCCAGCTATCTGATGATCGCTCTCGGGATCTGTGGGTGCCACTGAAGGCATCGGCGGGCGCAATCTCGGTTGTAGGTGCGATATCGCTTGTTCCCATAGCCTCTCGACAGATACAATTTATTAGCATAGGTGTACGACCCGTCTTTAATGACCATGGGCCAAACGTCCTCTATGAAGAAATTAATAGGTTATTTACGAACTCAAGCTTCGGGGTAGAAGAGGAGGGTGACAATCTTAGTGAGAGTGAGCAAAATAGGAGAGTCAACGACCACCGATTCAAACCAGATGGATACACAAATCAGGAACTCAGGGGTAGAAAAGGGGTTGACCGATGGCCCATGTTCTATATCAAGATTACACTTGGACAAGTCTCTCAGCTCGCTCAATATGACGTGGAGGAGATCCTAGATGAACGCCACGAGAGCCTAAAAACAATAACTGATGTCCTATCCGCGGTTATCTACGAATTTCTTCAAGCTCATCACTTTCGCCCAAGGTATTCTAGACCTCGTGGGATCACATCATCTAAGCGTTCCAATTCTCAGGACGTACGCAGCCAATCATTGTCTAGAAGTGCCACCCCAAAAGTCGAATCTCGAGCAACTAGTGCTAAAGCATCTATAAATCATCTATCATCTACCGGAGATTTGGCCAGTACTCGGCTTAATCTTTCTTCTAAAAATTCCGGTTTGCGGCCTTCATCTCCGTTCGATTCCTGGACTCGTATTAAATCAGGGCAGCCTCAGTACGCACACTTACACGACAAAACTCTGGGTCAGTCTGCTATAGAATGCGGTCATAGTCACAGTTCACACTTAGAAGACAGCAATAATATTTCAGATACACGATTAGTTGCTTCGGATGGCACGCTTGTCCGTATCCCTTTCCCTGACGTAGAATTGGATGCGCCTGGTACAGGCAGCCAGAAGCTTGCACCTAAAGAAGAGAGTTTTGACAGAGAAGAATCTCAGTTACGAGAAGGCAAAGAGATTTTGTGGACCAATCCAGCCACCAAGGATACCTTCGTCGTCGATACCCGCACTGGCTCAGTGATTCGGCCCCTAAGACCTGGAATTGGGGGACCCGACGTACTGAATGAGACCTATCACCTGCCTTCAAGAAAGAAGCTTCGTACAAACACCAAGCCAGTCCCTAGCGATTTGAGAAGCGAGTGGCTATGTGATCTCTTATCATCCTGGGATAACCCGGTTTTCAAGTTACATGAGCCACCGATTCCAATTGCTTTTGATGAAGAAAAAGCATTAGCTCTAGCAACAAAGACGGCAGAGGATTGTTGCCATGGATGTAACTCTAGATCGTTGGAATCCTTACAAACTACTTCTCATAGTATGGAAGGCCGACTGTCTAAAGATAGTCTACGGAATGCTGCTGTAATATCGCAGGTCGATCGGAAGTTTATACTTGTTAAAATTCCTTTACCTCCACCGCCTCCCGATCTAGGTATAGGCAAAAAAGGAGGTACCTCATTGCTTGTCATGATTGATCAGCATGCTGCAGATGAGCGGTGTCGGGTCGAATCCCTTATGAAGGATTACTTCATGGTTGTAGAAGATACACAAGACGGAGTCACAGGACAGCACCAGCGGTCGATTCATGCCCAGGCCGAGCTTTTAGAGAAGCCTATCGTATTTGATGTTTCCCTTCGGGATGGTCATCAATTTGAGCAGTCTGTCGAGTACTTCAAACAATGGGGAGTCGTGTTTCAAGTCACCCCGGTGCTAAAATCAAAGCTTGACAGCAAGGGGAAATATAAACTTAAAATTCTCGGCCTACCGCCCAGCATAGCTGAAAGATGTCGCTCAGAGCCTCGGTTGCTTATCGAGTTACTGAGGAAAGAGACATGGAAGCTCGACGAACACGGACACAGTGCTTCTCAGCAAAGGAGGGTAGAGGATACTCAGGGAGCTGGTAATAGCTCTGCTGGTCTGCATTGGCTGGCTCGGTTTCACGGGTGTCCCAACGGCATTATAGAAATGATCAACTCTCGAGCGTGTCGGAGTTCTATTATGTTCAACGACGCTCTTTCTCATGAGGAATGTGTCGATTTGATAAGGCGGTTGGCAGACTGTACTCTACCTTTCCAGTGTGCCCATGGACGGCCATCAATGGTGCCGCTGGTTGATTTAAGTAGAATTCCCACGAGCGCGGTAGATGTAGAGAATCCTACGGGTGGATTTGGGGAACAGTTTAAGAAGTGGAAAGCAAATATGAGTAGTGGATGAAGGTTTGTATAATTAAACGACTTATTTGGAAGAGTATTTTGATATATATGCTATAGATAGAGATACCCAAGAGATTCTAGGTTAATATTAGGTATATTTTATATAAGTCTTAAGAGTAACATCCCACGTGCACTAAAGGTTCTACATACATAGGTACATGTAGTATGTGCATCCATCCATTAAAGTGATTCAAGCACCGCCACACTTTGCCTTTAAATTCCAAGTACCCATCCATGTATGTACCCCATATACATAGGTACATATATGTATCGAGGTTGTCGAAGTACCTCGGTACCCAGGTATCGATAAAGCAGCTCCCGTCCCATTGATCTTAGAGCTTCGCGGTGACGTTCCCAGCTGTCAGGCAATCTTCTTAGTATCACCAACTTTCGAGCAAGGATGAGCAAACCAGAACTAATGCCGCCCAGTTAATTGTCGCAAGCATTTGAGCACCCACTATGGCTTTGCTTCTGGTGAGTTATCAGACCATGAACCCTTTATTGTCCCCAATTCTATTTAACTAACCTGCCCCAAGTGGAAAGCATTCGACTTCTTCGAAGTGAGCCAGGTCAAGCTCGGCGACGACGAAGCACGTTCATTCTTCGAGAACAACGAGGTATCAAGCGTATGCTCCGGATCCGATAGTTTATTCTTCGGAAGCGATAACGGCTATGTGCGCATTATCGGGCCCAGTTGGAAGATCGTCCGGAGCTTCCAGGCACACGACACCGGTCGCATTACCCATATGCGCCAGGTCGAGGGAACGAGCCTGCTGGTTACAATCTCTGTAAGATATATGGCATGGCCTTACAATTTTAAACGGAACTAATAAGAAGTAGGAAGATCTGAGTAATGAACCTGTACTGAAAGTCTGGGCTCTGGATAAGCCCGTGAAGAAGACAGGCCTGCCCACCTGTTTGAGTACATTGAACATAAACAATGGGCGGAAGCAATTCCCTGTGAGCACAGTTAGAAATTAATATGAATATTCGTAAGCTAACTAAATGTTATAGATATCGTCATTCACTGCTCTTGATGACCTCTCTCAGCTCGCCGTAGGATTTGCAAACGGTGCAGTCACAGTAATACGAGGCGACCTAATCCACGACCGAGGTACAAAACAACGAATCGTTTACGAGTCGGAGGAACCTATCACGGGAGTCGAGTTTGTGGCCGATCCAAAGCTCACAACACTATTTGTCGCAACGACGTCCAAGCTTCTAAAGCTAGTTATATCTGGCAAAGGACAAGGGCAACCTCCGAGGACGATTGAGGATGCCGGGTGTGCTGCCGGGTGTATGACAGCGAATAGCAAGAGCGGAGATATCATCGTAGTCCGGGAAGATGCGGTATACTATTACACATCAGAGGGAAGGGGGCTTTGCTTTGCTAACGACGGGACCACGAGCCTAGTCTCAACTTTCCAAGACTATGTTGCCCTTGTTTCGCCGCCCCCGGTTTCTAGCAGCGGAGCCTCTGATAGTATAGGGAGGCGTTTTGGAGGATCAAATGCAGACGCCCTCTTCCACGCTGCTAGGTTTACAATGGTGGACCCAATGCTTCAAATAGTCGCACATTCCGAGTCACTTATATCTGAAGTTAAGGCTATTTTTAAAATATGG